TGCCCCGCGGACTGGGGGCAGGGGCAGCCTGTGATTATGTCACCACCACTGATGGCCGTGCAGGCGGGGACGCCGATCGTGCCTTCTGCCTGGGGCGCCAGCCGCAACAGCCGGCCTCAGGCCGCTCCTGACTGGGAACCTCCTCGGCACCACCCCGGAACCCACACTCTAGTCACATTATGTTGGGTCACGGCATCAACAATTTTCTTCAACTGAGTCATGAGAAAAGAATAGTGATAGAAATGTAGCCGTGTTAGTCTGGTGTTAGTCTGGCCCACGAAAGCTCATCATCTAATAAACCATCTTGTTAGTCTTTAAAGTGCTACATAGTCCTGTTTTTTGTTTCTGTCCATGGGGCCATTACCTATGTGGTGAGGAGAAAAATGGTTTGTTACAGTTGTCTTATCTAGCAGCCAGACTCCTTCCTGATGCAGTTGACAGTAGGTGATATGGTGGCTTATATTTGGTAGGCATACTTAGTTCCATAGAGCATTGCTTGTTTTCAAATGGGTGATGATTCTGGTGGCCAGTTTTCTCCCTAGCACTAAAACTGAATTTTAAGGGAAAAAAAAATCAAAACCATGCTCTTAGGAGGCACGGGGAAAAAATGAGTCTGAGTACTCTGTATTCATTATAAAATGAATGTAAGGTGTTAGAGTTGTTGGCTAGTATCTGTATGCCTACACCACAACAAGGTTGAGTAGATGGATTTTTTTGGTCTTTATCTCAGGCCTTATTGTGAGCTATCTGCATATCCAATTCCCATTACAGCTAGAAGGAAGGAGATTATTGCCAAGCAAAATCTGGAGGTGACCCAAATGGGGGCTCTTGCACATCGTCAATTTGTGAAAGCTAGAAAGGGCATCTTACCTGCGATGTTACCCGGCGCCCACACAGACCGTTCGCTGATATGCATGTGCGAAGAAGACATGAGGGCGATGAAGGCTGGGACAGCACCTGCCTCCACAACAATTCTCATGTGGTCCGAAGTGCCAGAAACAATGTTAGTCAGCGCCCATGCAGCTTCGAACTGCAAGTGGATGTTATCATGTTGTTTAGTTTGGAAAAAAGAAGATTAAGAGGGGACATGATAGCGGTTTTCAAATATCTAAAAGGGTGTCACAAGGAGGAAGGAGAAAATTTGTTCCTCTTGGTTTCTGAGGACAGGACAAGGAGTAATGGGCTTAAAGTGCAGCAGGGGAGGTTTAGATTGGACATTAGGAAAAAATTCCTAACTGTCAGGGTGGTCAAATATTGGAATAAATTGCCAAGGGAGGTGGTGGAATCTCCCTCTCTGGAGATATTTAAGAACAGGTTAGATAGACATCTGTCAGGGATGGTGTAGACGGAGCTTGGTCCTGCCTTGAGGGCGGGGGGCTGGACTCTATGACCTCTTGAGGTCCCTTCCAGTCCTATTATTCTATGATTCTATGATTACGGCTCAAGAATTCCACCAGTTCGGGAATAATCCCTGCTTCAATAATCTGATTTAGAGGTGGGTTCCTCTGTCTGGAAGGCATTCTCCTGTTGGAGACAGAGACAGGAAATGGCACCTCTGGGTTGTTCAGTAAGTTGGCTTCTTTCACTCACTGGGAAACATGATGAACCACCTCCCATAGTTCAGATTCAGATAGCAAGATTGCCCACTCCTCGTGGGAAACATTCCAGTGGGAAACATTCCAGTGTCTAATTCCAGCCCTTAGGTCTGCAGGTTTACCTGGCAGGATGCCCCTGTTATATTTAGCTGCGCCTCCACAGATATTGGGTCTTGTTGGCCACCAATTGTCATCTGTGGCTAATAGGAGTGGTGGGAAGTGCAGCCATGGCAGTGGGTCATAGCATCCCTCCCAGAGCTCTAGGTAAACCACCTTCACAAGGGGAGTAGCTAACAGCGCTGAGAGCCTGTTTATACTGCCACTTTACAACGCTGTAAGTGTGGGACTGTATTGTAAACCCCTGAGCGAGACTATTACAGCGCAATAAAATGGCAGTGTAGGCAAGCCTCAAGACTGGCCTTTCTCTTCCTTGAAAGGGTCAGTCTCGTCTTGAGACCAGTGGGGGATACATTTCTCACTTGTGAAGCAAATGCACTTGAACCGGTCTCTAGAGGAGCAACATTACTGCACTGCCCATTCTACCACCATGGGGCCTGCTCGTGCCAGGTGACTCAGGCTCACAGGGTTCTGGCTAAAGAGTTGTAACCACAGATGTTCAGAAGTTTGCTGCAGCCAGAACTTTGGGATCCTCCAACCATGGGCTCAGGCTTCTGGGACCTAGGGATGTGAATGAGAAAGAGGCAGCAGGGGAGAGGGGGAAAGACGGGGTGTGACGGACCGGGCTGGGTCTGGGCACAGCTGAGGGCGTCTGCTCAGGGCAAATTGCTCAAATTCGGGGTTCTCTATAGCCCCCAGACTAGAGACCTTCCCAAATAGGCCATAAACCAGTCCCACAGAGCGCTTCAGCTGCCTGCCTGGCCAGCCGGAAGCCTCACAAGCAAAACCCCTCCAACACCCCAGCAATATCCATGCCCCAGATGGCCCCAGGCCTCATACGCAGGTGAAGGGTTTTAGAACCCAATCTCACTGTCCCCGAACAAGTTCTGTCCGGTTCCAAGAAACCAGCCACAGATCCCAGGTCAATTTACCCTCTGGATCTTACCCACAAGATAACGCTCGTCCAGTCTTTTAGAATCTAAAATCTAAAGGTTTATTACTAAGAGAAAGAAAAGCGTGAGAGTAAGGTTGTTAAAGTATCATACATTACATGCATCGAATCTCCCAGTTCTCGATGCAGGCTCTCAGCAGAGATGTTATAACTGCTGGCTTAAAAGTCCTTGGTGTACATCCTATGTGAGGATGGGTCCACAGTTCTTCCTGGCTTGTGATTCCCTGCGAGGCCGCATCTGGGGTCAGGAGCACATCTGAAAACAAAATGGAGGCTGCTACATGGCATCTTTATACCTCCTTCCTGGTCTCTTCTTGACTGCAGCAGGTCACCTGGCCTGTGGCCTATCCCTGTGTTCCCTGCTGGTAGCCCTTAGGTATCAGTCACCATTATTGAGGTGTGTCCTTGGCCTATAGAGGGCTATTGTTCCATGGAGACTTGCTCATTAGCATGTCCATAGGCTGAACATTCTTCGTCTACTGCTCAATCCCATACAGAGAAACTTCCAGTATTAACACAGAGTACATATTCGTAATTCCACACACAGACATTATACAGATATATGAAGAGCATATACAGAGTCAGTAGAAGGCAAGCTTTCGTTTGACACCTTACATGGCCCCATTTGTACCACTTTTGGGGCAAACACCCCCCTCCCATGGGTACAGCAGTGATCTGGCTGCTCCCCTCAAAATCCAGTAACGTGACACAGGGTGTTTCAAAGCAGCAGTGCCACGTGGAGCCCCCGGGCTCCACGCAGCATTGCTGCTTTGAAATGCCCCGGGGAGCATTGGGCCAGCAGGGGACTGTTGCTACACTTCAAAGGCAGAGGTGCCATTATTGACTAATCAAATAGTTGATGCAGTTTGCATTGACTATTTGATTAGCCAGTTAATCAAAATTGTACATCCCTATTGTGAACATCTGCCCTGTAATTAAAAACAGCTTCTTAGCCTGAGCTGTGAGGGCCTAATCAGCTGGCACAAGCCAGCCTCAGGTTTAATGGCAGAGTCGATGGGCTCCCAAGTCTTCCTGGCGAACATATCAAAAACCTTTGTCTAGGGAAAGTCAGCAGAAGCCTTCCGTCAGTGGGCAGGTGGTGGCTGCCAATCAATCTCTCTAGAGATCACTATGTGGCCTGACTGAAGAATAGCACCTCCTTCCCTTCCCTTCCCCACCCCTGCTCTAGCAGCTATCATGGTTTTTGCACAGCGGTGCCCTGTACTCATTGCATTCTTTTTCTCTTCTTTTGGAGAAAGACTCTCTTCTGTCATGGAGGAGAAAGAAATGTTCTTTCCTTTTAGGATCTGTTCATCTTTCTAGGCCTTCCAAAGTTCTACATTAACCACAATCTGCTGGCGTCTCAGCTCCTATGGGGAAAGAGCACCATATGCTACAAGCAGGTTTGTGAGCACTGATGAGCACAAGACTTAGCACAGCACACATCAGTGTTCCCTCTCATCGTTTCCATCCACGTGTGAAATGCATTATGTGCACAGAGGCACGTGCGGATGTGCAGCACGAATAGAAACAAACAACCTAGCTGTGGGCGCTCTGCTAATCAGCGAGGCAGCATTTGAATCGCTCCTGGGCAGCTGCACAAGTGCACAGCTTAACAGGGAATGCTGGCACAGATATATGACTTCTCTAGGAAGAGGTCTGACTTCTCTCTCGAGCTGAGCCTTCTAAGTAGTCTGCCCAGATTTCCTGTCCTACTTAAACTTCATCACCATATTTGAGAAGCTACAGGTTTGTCTTACATTTGACAGATTAGCACCAACAATTGTTATAAGGAGCAGTGGATTGTGTCAAGTTTTGAGTTATGCTGCAAGCTCAACAAAATCCCCATGTTTAATTATCTGCCCTTAGACATGAAGCTACTTTTAAAACTGCTCTGTTGATTAGGAGAGTAGGTAGTTTTTCCAGGAGAGCATTAATTCTTTTACAGGTTGGGAAAATTTGCCAATCCACGGGAGGTCAATATTGTCTAGTAGCATTACCAGCACTTCCACTGCTTACTGGGCTCTTAGAAGATATTTAGGAGTATATTAGCATACAACAGCACAGAACAAAGAGTCGGGACTAAAGGCTGTAAACAAACTGTATGGGACCATTGGAAATTTAGCCAGATGTCCACTAATCGTGGGTGCGGCTAACGAAAATCATGCTGGACCACAGATGTTGCTGAATCAAAGTGCGGGACTAGAGAGGTTCAGCTTGTACCAGATGAGGCAGAATAATCAAGGTAAGCCATCAGATTCATTGACTGCAAGGCCAGAAAGGACTATTTCATTCATCTGTCTCTCCTGTATAACAAAGTTTGGAAAGATTACACAAGTCAGTGAAAAGATATCTTCAATTATTAATGAAAGTAAGATAGGCAAAGAGAGAAAAGCGCTAACCGAGAAATTCTAGTTTTATTTTGACATGTGATGCAGATAGTTTGTGGTTAACTCCTGCACCAATAATTGACTAATAGTCCCCAACATCTCTTGAAAATGAATAGTTAGAATCAATAAAATTGCTTAAAAAACAAACAGCATTATTCTGTCAAAATTATAAAAGGGATGAAGAATAAGTTCTGCGAGGTTCGTGTATAACCCAGGACATATAATTTCTTCAAAATACTTCCTGGAGCACACATCCTTTAGAAAAATCATCCAACATGATTTCTAAGTTGCCAGCAATGGGGTATTCATCCATCCATCACCCTTGGAAATTTGTTCCAATGGTTAATTACCCTCACAGTTAAAGTTACTATTTCTAGTCTGAATTGGTCTAGCTTCAACTTCCAGCCATTGGGTCACGTTAAACATTTCTCTGCTAGACTGAAGAGCCCATTATTAAATATTGGCTCCCCATGTAGGTGCTTCGAAATCTAATCAAGTCACTCCCATAACCTTCTTTCTGTTAAATTAAAAAGACAGGGCTCCTTGAGTTCATAAGGGAGGTTCTCTAATCATTGAATTGTTTGCATGGCTGTTCTCCGAGTCCTCTGCAATTTATCAACATCCTTCTTGAATTAAGACAAGACGTGGACACAGTATTCCAGTGGCTAGACCAGTGCTTAATACAACAGTAAAATAATCTTTCTCCCAGGGAGGTTAGTGTGTACTCGTTTAGCCTGGGCTTATCAGTTACTCTTAATGGTTACATGCTTATGCTTATCAGATAGTGGACCAGCTGCTTACATCCCTACCCCCCTTGATGCTCCTCAGAGGCAGCAGGGTTGGGGAGGCAGTCAGGAGCCAGTGCTCGTGGGGAACCAGCTTAAAAGCCAGCTCCCCACAAACTAGAAGGCTGTGTCTAGACTGGCAAGTTTTTCTGCAAAATCATCTGCTTTTGCGGAAAAACTTGCCAGCTGTCTACACTGGCCGCTTGAATTTCCGCAAAAGCACTAACGATCTCATGTAAGATTGTCAGTGCTTTTGTGGAAATACTATGCTGCTCCCATTCGGGCAAAAGTCTTTTTCCGAAAAACTTTTGCGCAAAAGGGCCAGTGTAGACAGCAGAGATTTGTTTTCCGCAAAAAAGCCCCGATCGCCCTTTTTGCGATCGGGACTTTTTTGCGGAAAAGCGCGTCTAGATTGGCCACGGACACTTTTCCACAAAAAGTACTTTTGCGGAAAAGCGCGTCTAGATTGGCCACGGACACTTTTCCACAAAAAGTACTTTTGCGGAAAAGCGCGTCTAGATTGGCCACGGACACTTTTCCACAAAAAGTACTTTTGTGGAAAAGCGTCCTGCCAATCTAGACGCACTTTTCCGAAAATGTTTTTAACGGAAAACTTTTCTGTTAAAAGCATTTCCGAAAAATCATGCCAGTGTAGACGTAGCCGAAGTGTTAGATAGCAGGTAATGGAATAGTTGAATAACCACATGAATTCTTATCGGTTACTTGTGTAGTCCCCTTACTAAAGGGGCCTCTGTTTTATTCTGAAAAGACCCTGTGTGCTACAATCCAGACTACAATTCCCATGAACCCTTGGGAAAAAACAGGCAGGGAGGACTCTAGGGGGAGAGAGGGGTGCTCTCTCCATGTGCTTGAAGAAAGAGGCCTAGCAGTCTGGGACTCTGCCTTGCAGTTTGGAACCAGAGGGGGAGCCAGGCTGCTGCCAAGGACATTGACCCAGTGCAGGGGCTGTTGGAGTGCAGCTACTGGATGCCTGTTGGAGCTGGGAGTTAGCAGGCTGCTTCCTATAGGCCCAGCACGAGGCAGTAAGTTTGGGCCTTGCTGGAAGAGTGCTGCCTGGGACAGAGCTGCTATTTAGCCTGGACCAAATCCTCACTACAGCTGCAACATCAGCGCGCCCACACAAGCGTCTGGGGCTGAATCTAGGGGGGTGCACACTTTGGGGTGGGGTCACTGGTAGTACAAATGGTAGCTGCATAAGCTTCAGTTATTGTTATGTGTTTTGTTAATGCTATTCATTTCTAATTCTGTTAATCCCTGTTTATTTAAATTAAGTAAAGATTGTTTATTGTAAAGTGTTCTATTAGATGTACAGGCAGTCCCTGGGTTACATACAAGATAGGGACTGTAGGTTTGTTCTTAAGTTGAATTTGTATGTAAGTCGGAACTGGTACATATTGTAGGGGAAACTCTAGCCAAACATTTCTCCAGAGCTCAGTTTTATTCTCCCACACCTCACTTCCCTCAGGCTTTATTCTCAAGCTGAGGTGTCTGCTGAGAAAAGCAGCTCCGCGTCTCCCTGGTCTGCTGGGGGAAGCAGCTAGTGGATCCATGTAACCCAGGGACTGCCTGTATATGATTTGTAGTTGTTCTGGAATTAGATCCAGTTTTATGTTGGAATGACTGTGTTCCTGGAGGCTCTCAAGGCACACCAGTGTGTGTACAAGGCCAGCCAGGTGGAGGAACCGCCATTTTACATTCATTACCAGCAAGGGACTGCAGCAAGGGGGTGGATAGGGCTTTCCCCAGCTAAACACCATCACCACTGGGGTGCTCAGGATCTCTGTTAGGTGAAAACACCAGGCGCCCAGGCACACCTGTGAGTGTGACCTGCTCCCCAGTAACCCGGGGAGGAAAAAGGGGGTTACACTTGATTATTCTATAACCCCGGGGGTGGGGCTGGCAGCCCATGTGCTCTGGCCCCACTCCCAGGGAGCCTCCTGCCACTCTATGCTTCTGCCTCTGTATCATAGAAAACCAGCTCCCCTCGTGGACCAGCTGCCTGCCGTCCTGCGCTGCTGCCTCTGATACTGAGGTGGTGGCAGCAGCCCCTGTTTGTTGGGTCCAAGCTCCCCACAGACAGAGGCTGGGGGGGGGGGGGG